GGTACATGTAGCAAAGGGGTGACCATGACACTCAGAGGCTTGCGCCTCGAATTAGTCACCCAGACGCAGAAGAGGGCGAATAACGTCTCGAATAGGACAGATGTGGTGGCAGGAGTTGAGTGAAATAGGTAAACAAGGGGTAGAGCAGACGGATTTTACGGAGCATGAGAGAAACTGGGATAAGACTAGGAAAGAGGACTGCATAAGAATGAAGCAGACTCTAATCAACATTGAAGGTATGAAGACCAAGATGGTGTGTCCTTTTGTGTGGTCGCAGTCTCCTTTCGTTGTATAGAAGTTGTTTGACTTTGTTTTCGCAACATGGACATATTGGTAGGAAGACTTAGTGGAACGCACCTAGTCCGGGGTCCATTGCCTGCATAATCATTTCAAACGTTGAACCATGGACGTGGAACATTCCCAAACGTTTCGCCGGCATCGTAGTCGGCATCGTTAGTGATCAAAGGATCGGCTTCACTTGTCTCTTTGACGAGTAGCTGTATGGTGTTTAGGATGGCGATACTCACTGACGATGCCAGCGAAGCGTTTGGGAATGTTCCACGTCCACGGTTCAACTTTGAAAATGATCATGCAGACAATAAAGCCCGGACTAGGTGCGTTCCAATAAGTCTTCCTACCGATATGACCATGTTGCGAAAACAAGGTCAAAGAACCTCTCTAATCAACAGTCCCTGCACAAGGATGAAGGGGGAGGGGGTGAGAACGAGAGCTGGAGTGTGAAGATGTCATGTCGCTCTAAGGAGCACACCACACTATCTAAATTAAAACGGTGAAAATTATAATAGTGAAGGCATGATAGAATGATACCGAAAACCCGAATAACTCAGGGCGGAAGGGAAGATACCATAATTGTTTAGCACACGTTTGGTCAAAGGATCAGCTTCACTTGTCTCTTTGATGGGTTGTTGTATGGTGCTAAGAATGGCGATAGTCACTGACGATACCGGCGAAACGTCTGGGAATGTACCACGTCTGCGGTTCAACTTTGTAAATGATCATGCAGACAATGGACTCTGGACTATGTGCATTCCTCTAAGTCTTCCTACCAATATGACAATGTTGCGAAAACAGGGTCAAACAACCTTTATACAACGAAAGGAGACTGCGACCACACAAAAGGCCACATCATCTTGGTCTTTATACCTTCGAAAAAAAATATTTTTTTCGTTTATAAGTAGAGTTTCGAGACTATCAGTAAATCACTTATATGAGATATATTCACCCAATTTCAATTAAGACTAATTGTTAGTTGAATTTTTTTCACAGTGATATGAGTAGAGAGGTTGTTTGAACTTGTTTTCGCAACTTGATGATATTGGTAGGAAGACTTAGAGGAACGCACCTTGTCCTGAGTCCATTGTATGCAAAATCATTTCCAAAGCCGGACTCTGAAAGTGGTGCATCCACAGACGTTTCGCCGACATCGTAGTCGGCATCGTCAGTGAGTCTCGCCATTCGTAGCATCATACAACAACTCGTCCAAGAGACAAGTGAAGCCGATCCTTTGTGGTGCTAAGAATGGCGATACGCACTGACGATGCCGGCGAAACGTCTGGGAATGTACCACGTCCACGGTCCGACTTTGGAAAGGATAATGAATACAATGGACTCCGGACAAGGTGCGTTCCTCTAAGTCGTCCTGCCAATATGACCAAGTTGCGAAAACAAGGTCAAACAACCTATATACAATAAAAGGAGACTTCGACTACACCATCTTGATCTTCATACCTTCGATATGAGTAGACTTTACATTTCTATTGAATTTCACATATCCTTGCTTTCCCAAAAGTTGTTCTCATCCAGGGTGGTCTGCAGTTTCGACCTCCCATAGATCTTATCACAAACCCCCAGCAACCTTCCATGAAATTCACATTTGCCCTTTGACCCAAGGTCACTCGTGGCAATGTGGCGTAGTGGCTAAACTGTCGAGCTTACACGTCGCTCCGCCATGGTCGAATTCCGTTAGGGATGTTGTAGAACTGACAAGTAGACCGGACTCGCATTTAATTTCATATTCATATGCTTCCCCAAAAGGGGTCCTAATTCAGGGTAAACTGAATACATCTCATATAGCTGACTTACCGGCGGTCTCGAAACCCTACTTATAAACGATAAATAGGTAAGGAAGTCGATTGTTATAGCAAATATAAATTTGCTTTATCGACAATCCCACCAAAGAATATGATATGGCAAAAGGCTTGGCCTTCCTTGAAATTCTTAATTGGCCTGTGACCCAAGGGCACTCGTGGCAATGTGGCCGAGTGGTTAACATGTCAAGTTCACATGCTGCACCGTCACGGTTTGATTCCCGCCGGGGGTGGTGATAAGACCTATGCGAGGTCGAAACTGCAGTCCGCTCATGCCTAGATGAGAACAACGTTTGGGAAAGCAAGAATGTGCGAAATTCAGTGAAAATGTAAAGTTTTCGCAACTTGGTCATATTGGTAGGAAGACTCAGTGGAACGCATCCAGTCCAGAGTATGCATGATAATTTACAGAGTCAGACCGTGGACGTGGTACATTCCCAGATGTTTTGCCGGCATCGTCAGTGAGCATTGTCATACTTATCACCACACTATAACTCATCAAAGAGACAAATGAAGCCGATTCTTAGGGGAAAGGAGAGATACCACGATTGTTAAACAGTCAACTGGCCCAAGGATCGGCTTCACTTCCTTCTTTGACGAGTTGTAGTGTGATGTTAAGATTGGAAAGGCTCGCTGACGATGCCGACCGTGATGCCGGCGAAACTTCTGGGAAGGTACCTCGTCCACGGTCCGACTGGAAATTATAATGCATTCAATAGACTCCGGACTAGGTGCGTTCCTGTAGGTTTTCCTACCAGAATAACTAAGTTGCGAAAACAGGGTCAAACAACTTCCATAATTTTCGAATTACTCCAAACGACAGTCGGTCAAGAGAAATTGGCCGTTAGCTTCCAGTAATTTCAACCGGCGAATCTCTTCTTCA